TCATGTATGTAATCCTAGCACTTTGGGAGGGCAAGGTGGGAGGACTGCCTGAGGTCTGGAGTTCACCCAGAGAGCCCTGTTTCTAGAAAAATCTGGACGATGGGGTGAGCACCAGTAGTCCCAGATAGTTGGGAGGCTCAGGCAGGAGGGTCGCTCCAGGGCGGCGCCTATGCTCAGAGGGTAGGGCGCCGGCCCCATATACCGAGGGTGGCGGGTTCAAACTCGGGCCCGGCCAAACTGCAACAACAACAAAAAGATAGCAGGGCGTTGTGGCAGGCTCCTGTGGTCCCAGATACTCGGAAGGCTGAGGCAAGAGAATCGCTTAAGCCAGGAGTTGAAGGTTGCTGTGAGCTGTGTGACGCCACGGCACGCTACCGAGGGTGATAAAGTGAGACTCTGTCTCAAACCCCCCAAAAAGGAGGGTCGCTTCAGCCCAAGGGTTTGAGGCTGCAGTTAGTTATGATGATGCCACCGCACTCTAGCCTGGGCGACAGAGTGAGACCCTGTCTCCAAAACCACCACCACCAACACTCCCCCTCCTCCTCAAAAGAGCAAGGCAGTGATGCATGTTTTTTTCCTCCCCTAGTTTTTTCATTTATTCCGTTCTGTTTTTTATTTTGAACAATCTCTGAGATATATGTCACACTCCACACACAAACAGAGGGGCAGGTCAGCAGCATATAGTATAACAAAACATAATAAACCAATACCCAAAACAGGTGATTGTGGGTGCAGACCCCGGTTCAGTAAGGATGGACCGCCGCGCCGAGCCAGGTTGATGCTTCACAGGTCGGGATCCTTGCCGAGGTGGTTCTACTCTCCCTTAATTAAGACTCCCAGGGCCTAGGCACCGAGGCGGCCCCGGCGTTCTCTGGCGGGCATCTTCAGTTTCCAAACGGTTGGAGGTAGATTCAAGGACTGAGGTGCCCCGGCCCCCATGTCATCGCTCCGGTTACCCCCGCGCTCCGGGCGGGGCAAATGGGACGCCCACAAGAGACACCAGCAAGCCGGAAGTTGCGATAAGGTAGCCGGACAGGAAACGCGAGGACACCGGCCGGAGTCAGCCCGCACTAGGGTTACCCTACCCGCTTGGCGAAGCTGCCCTCCGGAGCGCGCAGGTGCGGCGGCTGGTTGGTGCGGGAAGGTAAGAGGCTGCGTAGTGGGGCACGGCCGGATAGTTTCCAGCCAATCACCAGCATAGTCGGTGGGCGCGTGGGCGGGGCGAGGCAGGGCGGGACGCCGCAGAGTGGCGTCGTTGCTGGGGTAACGCGCTCCCGGCGTCCAAGCTCCTTGGATTGAGGATCCGGGCGTAGCCGACTGACGCTCGCGGGGTTTCTAGGCCTCCTGCCCTCTCCACACGTGCCCTCCAGCGGCCGCCTGGGCTCCGGGGACCCGTAGTGGTTTCGCCTCCGCGCTTTCTGGGGTGAACGGGCCTTGGGCCTTCCACGCGTCTCTGCTCTACCGCGGCCCTGGGAGTAAAATAACGTTGTTTTTTTTTTTTTTTTGGTTTAAAAAGTTCTTACGCTGGGCGCTCGTAGCTCAGTGATTAGGGCGCCGGCCACATGCTCCGGGGCTGGTGGGTTCAAACCCGGCCTGGGCCTGGTAAACAAAAAACAAAACAGAATAGCCGGGCCTTGTGGTGGGTGCCTGTAGTCCTAGCCACTAGGGAGGTTGAGGCAAGAGAATCGCTTGAGCCCAAGAGTTTGAGGTTGCTGTGAACTATGACGGTACGACACTCTACCAAGGGTGACAAAGTGAGACTTTGTCTCAATTAAAAAAAAAAGTTTTTAATTCCCTGGTGACACCTATTTAACACTTATCCTAATTTACGTTTTTTCTTGTTCAATGTTTAACATTTGCTCTGCTGTTTATTATTCTTATTTTTTTTGCCTATCTCCCATTTCTTTATTTTTCCCCTTGGTCGTCTCTTTCTTTCCTAACGCTATGTTCCTGCCTTACCTTTGGTACAGGTCTCCAACCTGGCTGAGCATTCTTAATTAGTACCAGTTATTTTTTTCTCACTTCAGATGACTTTTCCCTCTTTTTATTTTCTTTTTTTGAGACAGAGCCTCAAGTTGTCGCCCTAGGTAGAGTGCTTTGGCATCACAGCTCACCTCCAACTCCTGGGCTCAAGCAATTCTGTTGCTTCCGCCTCCCAAGTAGCTGGGACTACAGGCGCCTGCCACAATGCCCGGCTATTTTTTGGTTGCAGCCGTCATTGTTGTTTGGCAGGCCGGACTGGATTTGAACCCGCCAGCTCAGGTGTATGTGGCTGGTGCCTTAGCTGCTTGAGCCACAGGCACTGAGCCTTATTATTCTTTAAGTCTTGAGTTAACTGTCAGGCCAATCTCCAAGGGTAAGGATTTATTGACTGAAGGTGGAGTCCTCTCTATAATCCAGGTCAGGAAAGCCACCGGGTACAGAAGTTGGCATTTGTTCAGTGTTTTCAGTGCCTGAAGCTCTCTGCTAAGCACCTTCATCCATTATAGGCAATTTTGATGAGGTAAGTACATCCCTAAATGGGTGGCCTGTGAGTTAGATGCAAGCAGCAGGTATTTTCTGTTGAACTTGTTCTTAAATTTTTATTTTTTATCATTAATTTAAAAGTCAGGGCTCGGCACCTGTAGCTCAAGCGGCTAAGGTGCCAGCCACATACACCAGAGCTGGCGGGTGTGAGTTCAGCCTGGGCCTGCCAAACAGCAATGACAACTATAATCAAAAAATTGGCCAAGTGTTGTGGCAGACGCCTGTAGTCCCAACTACTTGGGAGTCTGAGGCAAGAGAATCACTTGGGCCCAGGAGTTGGAGGTTGCTGTGAGTTGTGATGCCACGGCACTCTTACTATCCAGGGTGACAGCTTTAGGCTCTGTCTCAAAAAAAAGAAAAAGTCAGGCGATTCCACATAGAAACCAAAATTTTTGGGGGGCTTCTTAATGGTCCCAACTTTCCTCTTTAAACTATATATGATTTCTTAAAAGGCCCTGAATTCCCTTTGCCCTCCCATCTTATACCCTAAAGCCCACCCTGGAATGAATTCCTCTCATTCCCCAGAAGGAGTTGGTGTTCATATAGTAGGTGCTCAATAAATACTCTCTGAACAAGTAAATAAATGCTCAGACTTCATTTGGCCTCAAACTTCTGAACTCTTTGGTGTCTCACAAGTGGTCCCTTTTGCTGGTAGAGAAACTTTTGCCCAGAAGCCAGGCACATCCCCTTTTGGGGGACATGGTGCATTCCTGGGACTGTGTGAGTTGATATGGGTGTTGGCAAGAGTGAGTTCCCTTACCCTGGGTTCTGCTCCTCCTCGGCAGACTAACTGCTGCCTTCTTTTCCAGGAGCCTCCCCTCCCTTTGCTTTGTTTCAGTTTATAGTTCACTCTAGCTTGAAAACAGTATTGGCTTTTGCTATACTGTTTCGTGTCTCTCTTCTCTTTGAGGATTAAAGCACCTAGAAATCCTAACCAGAAACAAACCCAGTGGGTTTTTTTTGTTTGTTTGTTTTTGTTTTTAGAGACAGAGTCTCACTTTATTGCCCTTGGTAAAGTGCTGTGGAGTCACAGCTCACAGCAACCTCCAACTCCTGGGCTTAGGCAATTCTCCTGCCTCAGCCTCCCAAGTAGCTGGGACTACAGGCGTCCACCACAACTCCCAGCTATTTTTTGTTGCAGTTTGGCCAGGGCTGGCTGGGTTTGAACCTGCCACCCTCAGTATATGGGGCCAGCGCCTACTCACAAACCCCAGTGGTAATGATTTTTCGTCATATTGACAGTAGAATCCTTCAGAATTCCAGGATTCCTAAAACATGTTTAACTCCAAGAGCAGAGTTGCAAACCAGATGCTAGGGAGCCATGAAGGAACTGTGGCCACCTGAAAAGTGGACCTTGAGTGTGGGTCCAGCGTTACCAAATGTTCTGATTCTTTTTTAAACTACTGAGGTAAAAATATTCTGATTTACAAAAAATCAGTTTTATGAGAACTCTCTTAATTTTTAAATGTTAGAAACTAGTTTTAAAAGAAATAAATCCTTGTAGGCCCCAGATGGCACACTGGTGAGCTGGTACAGAGGCAGTTGTGCCTGTCTTACTGGGCAAAGTAGTATGTCTGATAGGACTTCAGTGAGCCAAAGGCAGTGGCCACCAGTTTATGATTCCAGGTGGTGCCACCCTGCCCCTTTCTCAGCCCAGGAGAAGTGGTTCCTTACCCTGGAACACAAAGCAGTCTCTGTCCCCCACTCAAGGCCTTAGTTGTCAGGATCTAAAAGGAAATGGAGCCTGAGAGCCTGAAGCTGCCAGGAGTTTCTGAGGATCTGGGACCACATGGAGGATCTGGGACCACATGAATAGTGAGGTCGGACCTGTTATGTATGTCCTCTATCCCCAAGCTGGAGTGGGTCTGGAAAAATCGGATTTACTCACATCTTTCGGGGGTTAGGGTATCAAAGTTGGGGAAAGGGGCTCCTAGCCTCTCTATTTCTTAAGTTCACTCTAAGGGAAAGACAACTCCTTCCCAGTCTTCCTAGTTTGGGGGGGACCCAGAGGACTCCTTGACCTGGGGACCTTAAGTGAATCCAGGGTCCCAAGGAGACAACTAAAACCTTCAAAAGCCCTGTGTACTGGAATGAGTGGCCCTGCCCCTCCACTTAGCAAAATGACCTTCTTCCTATGAAGACAACTGCAGTTGCTGTCTTTGAACATCAAATATCAAAATCTTTCTACAAAGTACATCTTCCCATTTTTCCGTTTTTGGGGGCCCCTGCTTTGCTGTTATCATGAATCCGTGGTGGGTAAGGCAATCATTAGGAGCTGACATCGCAGATCTGGGAATCACCTCCCAGTCAGGAGCAGGCACAGCCCAGGCTTGGGACCCCAGACCCGGAACCCTCAAAGCTGGGAACCCTGTAGGGCTGCAGCTGCATGGGGAACGGGATCTGGGAGGGACTTCCTGTTGTCCCTAATCCCAGTTTCCACTGGGCTTCCCCGCCCGCCCTGTGCAGGCTGCGGAGACTCCCTTCCTGGGGGAGGGAGCCCCACTCTCAGCGAGAAAGGGTGCTGGGGAGGGCGCTTGGAGCCTGAGACTGGCACAGGTGATATAAGCTTGCAGGAGCAGCTGGGGGCAGAGGTAGAAGGCTTTGGGTTGGCAGGAGTGAAGAGCCTGGATGTGGGAAGAATGACATCCTCTGTGGGGACTGAGCAGTATGAATGTGGCGGCAGCTGCAGGAGGAGCTCTTGAGAGTGGGCAGGTTGATTTCTGAATCCCAGGTGGGGCTGAGAGTCATTTGGGTGGGGGCATAGCGGGCCCTGGATTCCTCTGGCTTTGATGGGTGGGGCCTCCCCAGCACCCGTTTTGTAGGATCTCTGCAGAACTTTCTGCTCCTGATGCCAGGAAATGCCATTTAGCCCCAGCTTTCCCTGAGCCAGTGGCACTGTGGTGTGGGCTCTTGGTTCAGTGACCAAAGGGACAATACCAAATAGCATTCTTGCAAAACGAGGAATGAAAACACATCATAGAAAGTGAGACCCCTAGATAGAGTCTAGGAGACTTTATTTCTGATTGGGACCAGGAAACTCTGGTCCTCCAGAGGATTTTCTGGGCACTTTTGAAGTATCCAGAAGCACTGGCTGATTTCCTTTTGCTCTTCTAGGCTGCTAGCAAGAAGCTGGAGGGGGTTTGGCTGATAGGAGGAAGAAACAACTCCGTTCTTCTTTTAGCTCTGAAATAGAAAATGTCTGCAGATGGTGGAGGCATCCAGGACAAGGAGCGAGTCCAGGAGGTACGGATGGGGCCCAGGTGAGGGGGGGCATGCCATGGAAGGGCCTGGGGCAGGTGTGCAAGGCAGGGGTCTGGAGGAGCAAGGCCGGTGGATGCGGGATCTGGGGGTAGGGGCTGAAAGAAGATAGCACAATGGAAATATCCTCCATCTGGAATTGACAGTGTAACTGTTTTGCTTTGCCCAGTAAATTCTGTAGTCAGTGGCCACATGAGATAGCAGGGGAGCTAAACAGGAGTTCTATCAGTGAGGCTCTCTCTCTGAAAATTGTTCAAAGCACACAAGGAGGCCTTATTCTACTTACCCATACCTCTACCTGGGGCCACATCTCCTCATCTCTCTGGGTCTGAGTTCTATACCTGGTGTCTCTGTGTGTGCCACCTGCGGGGCACCAGGGTCTCTGGGCTTAGAGTCAAAGGAGTACAAGCCAGCCACATCCCAGGTGTGAGACCTCAGGCAAGTCCCCTGTCCCCTGGGAACCAGGTGTGTCATCTGCTGTTCCCACCTGTCTCACTAGGTCCCTGGGAGGCTTGAAGGAGATAATGGGTATGAGTCTTCTGTAGGCAGTTCATCAGCCCATAGCAGATTGTTATTGTAACACATGGACAAGAACTCCTGTGACAAATGGAATCTAAGTCAGAGAAACCTGTATCTGCTCAACTAGTACTGCCAACTAGTTTATAAATGCAAATCAAGTATAAGTTCTTGTTTTCATACCATAGAAGTACAAAGAATGGTCACCACTGTTCAGATTCCCTTCCACAATGATTTTTCGGTATGCCTTGAACACGCTGACATTCTCTGCTGATGTTGGGTTCTGTCAAGTACACACAGGTAGAGTAATAATTACTAGTATTGCTCTGTGTTTATTCAGAACTGTCCTGAGTGGGCGGCTCTTTCTTGCTCATTATATGTGTGTACCTCATTAATGCTCTGGGCAAGTGACAGAGCAGCAGCCTAGCTGGTCAGGGATGTCACTGGGTCTGGCCCGGGGCACCGTGACACCTGGCCTGAGGTTCTTTCCCTTTAAAACTCAGCAGATGGGGGATGGAGGAGTAGGTTCCAGTACTGAGCAGGAGGCTGGGCAGGGCCCTGAGGCCTACTTGGGGGCTTCTCAGTGTGAGGGAATGATTTCCCCAACGCTTTTAATCCCCATGATAGTGGGCTGTTGTCTGATCTGAGCCTTGCTGTAGTAGTTTCCTGTGGCTGCTGAAACAAGTTTCCTATCTCTGGGTGAAAATCAGAATTTACTTACAGTCTTGGAGGCCTGAAGTCCGAACCAAGGTGTTGGCAGGGCCACACTCCCTCCAAAAAGCTTTCTTGCCTGTTCCAGCTTCTGGAGGCTCCTGGTGTTCCTTTGGCCTTGCATCATTCTACTCTCTGCTTCCTTCTCTGGGTCTCTTTGCCCTATTCTTTTTTTGTTGTTGTTGAGACAGAGTCTCACTTCATGCTCTGGGTAAAGGGCCACGGCATCGTAGCTAATAGCAACCTCAAACTCTTTGGCTTGAGCAATCTACTTGCCTCAACCTCCCAAGTAACTGGGACTACAGGCGCCCATCACAATGCCTGGCTGGTTTTTCTAGTTTCAGTAGAGATGGGGTCTTGCTCTCGCTCAGGCTGGACTCAAACTCATGAGCTTAGGCAATCTACCTGCCTCAGCCTCTCAGAGAGCTAGGATTACAAGTGTGTGTCCTATTCTTATAAAGACATAAATATATTTAGATTTTGGGCCCACTCTAAATCTGGGATGATTTAGATCAAGATCTTTAATTATCTCACAAAAAACTTTTTCCCAAATAAGGCCATATTCTGAGGTTCAGAGTGGACATGAATTTTAGGAGACACTGTTCAACCCACTATACTTGATTTTTCTCATGTAGTAAAAAAACAGCTGTCCACACTGTTGTGGTCCATGTAGGGCTTGAGTTGAGAAGAGGTAACTGCCCTCAGAGCACCTTGTCCCCTTGCACTGTGGCAGTATCCTGAGGGACTTTTTTTTTTTTTTTTTTTTTGAGACAGTCTCAGTCTGTCATCCTGAGTAGAGTGCCATGATATCATTATAGCTCACAGCAACCTCAAACTCTTGGGTTCAGGAGATCCTCATGCCTCAGTATTTTTCTGTTTTTTAGTAGAGAAGGGGTTTTGCTCTTGCTCAGGCTGGCTTCAAACTTCAGAGCTCAAGCAGTCCCTCCACCTTGACCTCCCAGACTGCTGAGATTATAGGTGTGAGCCACCATTCCTGGCCACAGCCTGAGGGATTTTCTTCTTTTGACTCCCCATCCTTATTGTGGTGAGCTGGAGAGGAAGAAGCCAGGCCAGTCCTTCAGGCTGTGCCCTGCATCTGGGAGTCTGCCCTGCTAGGGCCCCTAGGCATGCAACTCTGAGTGTGTCTCCCACTTCCCACCATGTGCTGAGGGGCTGTTCTTTCCAGATTCCAGGTCATGGGCATCCTTGTCAGGAAACGCTTTCTAGGGGAGAGAAGATGGTGCCTTTGGGAGCCACTTGGGAGCCACCTCACATTAAAATAGAGCCAGAAGAGCCGCACCCTGAAGGGGCATTGCAGGAGGACAGGACTCCAGGGGCATGGGGCTGGGTGCCCCTAAGTCATGGCTCTAAGGAGAAAGCTCTCTTCCTGCCTGGAAGAGGTAGGAGAGGGACTGGAGGAGGTGCTTTCCTGGGAGGCAGCTGTAGGGAGGGTGGAGGCTTGGCTTGGTAGGGTTGAGGGGTTCTGCACTTGGAGGAATTTGGGCTGGACTCCCGCCCCTTGGCAGCCTCAGAGCTGTTTTACCCTCTTCTTGGATTGGGTCAGGGGTGGGGTTTGAGGCAATGGGAAGAGCAGCAGGCCAAGCTGGTCACTCTGAGGACCCCTCTCCTCTCGCAGCCCTCCCCTCACCCCAGAGCCCCATGCTTTCCTGTGAGGGGAAGACCAGAGACCGGCAGATGGCTGCAGCACTCCTCACTGCCTGGTCCCAGGTGAGTGGCCTTTCCCCAGCCCTCACACAGTGCTCAGCCCTTGCTACATGTGCTGGCTCTATGTGTAAAGCCTGGATCCCGCTGACCTTCCCAGTGGGAGCCGGAGCTCGGGACTCTCCCTGCAGTGCTGCTTGAATGGCCACCTGAGTGTTCTCATCCAGGCTTGGGGCCCATGGTCAGACCTGACCAAGCTGGAGGAGAAGCAGAAGGAGGTAGAGATATGGGCTCTCTGATTGGGGACCGTCCCTGGGGTCTGAGCTGAGGGTGGGGGCTATGGGGACATCCTGAGCTTTATTTGTGGTCCCTGAAAATACCACTTTGTTCTTGCCCCCCACCCCACCTCAAAAAAGGTCACCCTTGGGTGGCTTTCCCAAGTTACCATCAGATGTGAGTGGCAGGCCTCACTTGAGACAGTAGGCTGGGAGTCTGAGTCTTACAACATGTCTTGGTGTCATGATGTCTGTCTGCTGTGACCATGGCATATCCTGGAGAGTGGATGTTTTGCATTGTTTCAGATGCCAGTGACCTTTGAGGATGTGGCTCTTTACCTTTCCCGAGAGGAGTGGGGACGGCTGGACCACACGCAACAGAACTTCTATAGGGACATCCTGCAGAGGAGAAATGGCCTATCCTTGGGTAAGTGCTTGGCTGGTGGGGACCCCTGGGGGTTAGAGAGGGGGCCTGTCCTGCCATCCCCTCCATGCCAATTATCTCCTCCTTTCCTCCATCCTTACCCTAGTCCCTCTCATTGTTCATATAGACAGTGCTGTTTTATAGAACCTTACCATGATGGAAATGTTCTGCATCTGTGCCAGTACAGTAGCCATGAACCCAGTGAGGCTGTTGTACACTTCAAATGTGGGTAGAACAATTGAGTTTTTAATTTTACTTAATTTTAATCAGCTCAAATTTGAGTTTAAATAGCCATACATGGCTAGTGGCTACCATACTGAACAGTGCTGGTCCAGAGATGCTGCTTTTGTTTGGTTCTTTCAGAGTGCTAACTTATTCCTATAGTTTTACCTTCCCTCTCAAAGCTCAAACTTCAGAGGTGTCTGAGCAGAAAGCTTGGTTCCAGGGCTTAGGGGCTGCTTTCCCTGGGGGAAAATGGCATCAGCTAAACTCTTTAGGCCATGCAAACTCTGAGGTGGCCCATATACTCTGAGGAGCAGTGTGTTCTTCTCAGAAGGGCCGTGGTCCCCTTGGTTTCTGCATGGTAAGTACAGTAGAACCTCCATAGTTGACCACTTCTCTACATTGACCACCTCCTTAAATTGACCTAATTTTCATAGACCAGACATGCACCACATGTACTCAATGAAAGACTGATATCTCTATATTGACCACCTCTGTAAGTTGTATCTTGGCCACTTGGACTGTGACACACAATGTTAATTTACTCTCTGCAATTTGACCAGTTGAGTCCACTCTACACCAAGGGGTAGAAGGTGTAGGCTTTATCCCTTAGTTGTATTATTTTTTCTTTAGTGTAAGTTCTTTTTCCATGTTTTATTATTACCACATGTTATATTAGGCCTAAAGTCTATTTGTTCATCACATGTTGTGGAAGATGTTTTCAACATGAAAGACTGGTCTGAATTGTAGATATATCCTACAATTACTGAAAAATTTTACAGTTCATCGAGATGTGATGGCCCAAAGCAAAGAACTCAAAAAGCTGACATTGAGACTCGGCGCCTGTGGCTCAAGCAGCTAAGGCGCCAGCCATATACACCCAAGGTGGCGGGTTTGAATCCCCAGCCCGGGCCCGCCAAACAACAATGATGGCTGCAACCAAAAAATGGCCAGGCGTTGTGGCGGGCACCTGGGGTCCCAGCTACTTGGGAGGCTGAGGCAGGAGACTCGCTTGAGCCCAGGAGTTGGAGGTTGCTGTGAGCGTGATGCCATGGCACTCTACCCAGGGGGATAGCTTGAGGCTCCATCTCAAAAAAAAAGCTGACATTGAAGGAAAAGGTTGATCTTCTACATTTTCTGGAAAGCAGCAGTCAAAGAAAGACAGCACAACACTTTGGTGTTAGCAAGACTATAGTTAGCAATATTCAAAAATGTAAACATGAGTACATGGAGAAATACAGTAAGGAAAGTGGAGACGCACAGAGGAAAAGAAGGAAAACTTCCCTTGATGAAGTCAATGAAGTCACATTAAGCTGGTTTAAACAAATGAGGGCAGTTAATGCCCGAATCTCTGGGCTGATGATCCAAGAGGTTGCTAAAAAATTTGCACATGAATTTGGGGTGGCAGGTTTCCAAGCATCAAGTAGTTGGCTTGAGAAATTTCAATTGCAACATGAGATTTCCCAGAAAATCTTGTATGGTGAATCCAGTGAAATTCCAGTAGAGTTAATAACTAAGAGAATGACACGAAGGCTATGTTAACCAGTTTGATGGAAGTGTTTCGGATTGTGTGTGAAAACCCCACACTGTACCCCAGAAGTGCATTAATGTATATAGTTACCATTCAATAAAAGAAAAAAAAAAAGAAATTCCAGTAGAGTTGTGGAAGAGTTTATCAAAAAGTTCTCAGACTTTGCCAGAGGCTTCAAAGATGATGACATTTTTAACAAAGATGAGTGTAGACTCTTTTTCAAGGCCATGCCAGACAGGAGCTTTATCATGGAGGGTAACAAATGTAAGAGTGGAAAACTTTCCAAAGAATGTTTCACAGTTCTGCTTTGTGCTAGCTCAACTGGAGAAAAACTAAAGCCTTTGCTAATTGGTAAATCTGCAAAGCCACACGCATTCAAAAACCTGAAGCCTGGAGACCTCCCTGTCATTTGGAGACCAAAAAATGCATGTGCATGACTGGTGCCCTATTGGAGGAGTGGGTAAGGGGTATTGACTAAGAAATGAAGAAGAAGAAACGTTCTATTCTACTGATAGTAGACAACTGTCCTGGCCACCCAGAAGTGAATCATCTGACAAACGTGACCTTAAAAATCCAACCTCTTGACTAAGGCATCATCAAAACATTTAAAATGCACTACCAAGCCCAACTCCTGCAGTGGGTCATTACTAAAACACAAAGCTATGGTCCTCCTGTGGAAGCAACTTCATCTGCTGTGTCAGTTAACACTCTGGGTGCTGTCCTCTGGATCAGTTCTTCTTGGAACACAGTGCAGCCAGAAATCATTCAGAGGTGTTTCAAAAAAGTTGGATTTGTTACAACCCAAGAGTTTTGGCCCCATCAGACAGTCCATCTCCCATGGTAGAATTTGAAGGAGTAAATTTTGAAGACTTTGTTGCAATGGATGATGAGGTGGCAACCTACAATGAACCTGACCCGGAAGCAATTTTCCAAGTGATATTGACCGAAGTACAGGCCAGCATAAAAGTGCCTGAAATAGCTGATAAAGTGGAAGAAGCAAGTGAAGATGACACAGAAATTGCAGATTCTCCAAAAGAAGAGGATGTCAGGCATCTGATGATGCAGTTGAAGTCATTTGCTATGGAAAAATGCCCAGGTATGCTGAGTGGTATAGCCAGCATTGAGAGTGCTTTCTCCACTTATGTTTGTAATAAGAATAAGAAACAAACTTTGGCTCGGCTCCTATAGCTCAACCGGCTAAGGCGCCAGCCATGTACACCTAAGGTGGCGGGTTCGAATCCCCAGCCCGGACCCGCCAAACAACAATGACGGCTGCAACCAAAAAATAGCCGGGCGTTGCGGCGGGTGCCTGTAGTCCCAGCTACTTGGGAGGCGGAGGCAGGAGACTCGCTTGAGCCCAGGAGTTGGAGGTTGCTGTGAGCTGTAATGCCACGGCACTGTACCCAGGGGGACAGCTTGAGGCTCTGCCTAAAAAAAAAAAAAAAAAAAAAGAAACAAACTTTGAGTGACTCTTTTTTCAGAAAGAATGATTAAACCATGAGAAAACAGTAAATACTGATTTTCTCTGATACTGTATACATATGATTTTACAGTGTTTTGGTTATGTATGATCTTGTATGATATATTCTAATAAAAGCCATATAAGAAAGTAAAGTACATTCAGTACACTAGGTCTAGTTCCTTGTGTTGACCACCTCCGTATGTTGACCAGTTTGTTACAGTCCCTTGGGTGGTCAACTTACAGAGGTTCTACTGTATTTAAGTCTCAGAGCTTTTGAGTCCTTGATTTCAGATTCTAGTTTTCTTTTCTTTTTTTTTTTTTTGAGACAGAGTCTCAAGCTGTCACCCTGGGTAGAGTGCTGTGGCATCATAGTTCACAGCAACCTCAAACTCCTCAGCTTAAGCAATTCTCTTGCCTCAGCCTCCAAGTAGCTGGGACTTAAGCAATTCTCTTGCCCAGTCCCAAGTAGCTGGGACTACAGGTGCCTGCCACAACACCCGGTTATTTTTTGGTAATTGTTGTTTGGCAGGCCTGGGCTGGATGTGAACCCGTCAGCTCTGGTATATGTGGGATGGTGCCCTAGCCACTTGAGCTATGGGCACCAAGCCAGATTCTAGTTTGTTTGTTTGTTTGTTTGTTTTTTTGTTATTGCAGTTTTTGGCTGGGGCCATGTTTGAACCCACCACCTCTGGCATATGGGGCTGGCGCCCTACTCGTTGAGCCACAGGTGCTGTCCAGATTCTAGTTTTCTTGACAGAATTTTATGAGGTCTTATGGAAAAATCAGTGTTCACTCATTCACTGTCATTCATTCATTCAGTCAACACACATACTTGATAGCTCAGGGAGAATCCCAGAGGCTTGGCAATTCCACCCCATGACTTCACTGGTGGTCTCAAGAGCCCCCTGGCGCACACCAGCCACCCTCTAATTCCTTTAATTAGCTTAGGTTTGCTCATCAGAGGTTAACATTCCCCAGGGCCCAGGCAAGTCCTGGGAGATCAGAGGGAACTTATTTGCAGCCCCTCTGCACGCTTAATGGATGCCCCAAACCACCTGGTTGGTCCAGTGTGTTGCTTTCCTTCCTCAGGTGGTGGAAGGCAGAGCTCCTCTGCTCTCTTTTTGACTCAACCAAAATTCCCAATGGCTTTCACTCAGCAAATGGGGTGATTTCTTGGTCATCTTATCCTAGGCCCTCCCACTTGGTCTGTGTGCTCTCTCTCCCTGAGTACTACCCAGGTGTGTGTGTAGAATTGAGACCTTCTTCCTGTTTCTGACTTTGCTGGGCCCATCACTTAGGGGCTGTGATGACATAAAGGCATTGCCAGCCCCTGTCCTGGCCCAGCTCCTCTCCCTGGAATTCTGCTGCTATTCAGAGAATGGCAACTAGGCCCAGCTCAGCACTGGGAGAAAAGCTTTGGCAGGTCCCCTCCCTGACATGAGGATAGGCCCTCTTACCCAAAGGTATCTGAGTTCACTTTATCTCACCCCACATTTCCAGAGCCTCACCCCCATCTTTGCCCCATTCCTTTTTGGGGGGGATGACGTCTATGGCTGGGAAACCCTTGAAAGTCTGTGATGAGCACAGTGTCTCTTTCTGGGCAGGGTTTCCCTTCAGCAGGCCTTTCTGGGCCGCCCAAGTTCAGGGCAAGGATGAGGCCTCGAGCTCGAGCCAGCAGACAGGAGATGAACCGGCGGAGAGAGGCATGAGCACAGGTGAGGGATGGGTGCCTTGATCTGGGGAAGTTGGGGTGGGCACTGTCATTCCCAGGTCCCTCTTGTCAAGGTGGGCCTTGTGTGTGCTTTTTTTTTTTTTTTGCAGTTTTTGGCTGGGGTTGGGTTTGAACCTGCCACCTCCGGCATATGGGGCTGGCACCCTACCCTTTTGAGCCACAGGTGCTGCCCATTTTTTGTTGTTTTGCAGTTTTTGGCTGGGGCTGGGTTTGAACCCACCACTGGTGCCTTACTCCTTTGAGCCACAGGCGCTGCCCCTCTCTGTGCTTCTGTGGTGCAGTCACTGCCCCTTCCTAGGCCAAGGCAGCTAGATTCCCTAATCTGTAGAGGGTGGCTCTTGCTTCCAGGGATCCTCTTAGGTCCTTGGCCTTTCTAGTCTCCCAGTGTCCTGCCCCCACCTTTAGCTGGGACTTGATTATCCCTCTAAGCCCCTTAGGAAAGCTGCTCTCTGGCTGGAAACCCTTTTTTCTTTCCAGGAGTCCTGGAAGTTGGGCAGGAGGTGCTGAGCCCGTCCATGGTGGCCCCTGGGGATGTGAAGCCCTTCAGAACCAGGGCGGGAGGGGCCCAGGGGGGTATGTTGCCATTTGGGCAGCAAGCAGCTAGCGGCCGGAGCTCAGGGTCGTCTGAAGACACTGGACAGCCGGGTGCCCAGGAAGACGGGCAGGCAAATCCAGCCCTGCTGGACGACAGTCTCCCAATACCCCAAGAGGGTCATGTCCCAGAGAAACCCAGGAAGGAGGAGAAGGGCACCCCAGAGAGTGGCGAGGAGGGCCTGGCCCTCGACGGCGATGCCAACAAGAAGACCTACAAGTGTGACCAGTGTGGCAAGGGCTTCAGCTGGCACTCACACTTGGTGACGCACCGGCGCACGCACACGGGCGAGAAGCCCTACGCTTGCACGGACTGCGGCAAGCGCTTCGGCCGCAGCTCGCACCTTATCCAGCACCAGATCATCCACACTGGCGAGAAGCCCTATACCTGCCCCGCCTGCCGGAAGAGCTTCAGTCACCATTCAACGCTGATTCAGCACCAGCGCATCCACACCGGAGAGAAACCCTATGTGTGCGACCGCTGCGCCAAGCGCTTCACCCGCCGCTCGGACCTGGTCACCCACCAGGGCACCCATACGGGCGCCAAGCCGCACAAGTGTCCCATCTGCGGCAAGTGTTTCACGCAGAGCTCGGCGCTGGTCACACACCAGCGCACACACACAGGGGTCAAGCCCTACCCGTGCCCCGAGTGTGGCAAATGCTTCAGCCAGCGCTCCAACCTCATAGCGCACAACCGTACGCACACTGGTGAGAAGCCCTACCACTGTCTCGACTGCGGCAAGAGCTTCAGCCACAGCTCGCACCTCACTGCCCACCAGCGCACGCACCGTGGCGTCCGGCCTTACGCCTGTCAGCTCTGCGGCAAGAGCTTCAGCCGACGCTCCAACCTGCATCGACACGAGAAGATCCACACCTCGGGGCCCAAGGCCCTGGCCATGCTGATGCTGGGGGCGGCCGCGGCGGGGGCTCTGGCTGCAACCACACCCGCTCCTACCTAAGAGCAGGGGAGGGACCAGGCACCCAGGGCCCTTGGGACCCCTGCTTAAGTGGAGGACCTGGGGAAGGAGCTAGAGGGTGTGGGAAGGGAGCAAGGATGGGGTGGGGCAGTGGCGTGGGAGGGGTGAGGGCGAAGAAGAGTTGGCACTCTAGTTGCACATTAAAGGCCTTGGACTTAAAGTTCTAGCCTACAGCTCTGTTTTATGGGACCCTGGCATTGGGCCCCCCTCCTCCCAGCCTAGTGGTGGTGGTGGCAAGACTCCTGGGCCAACTCTGTCTCCTCCTTCAGGCATCCCAGAATCACCGCCTTTTTTTTTTTTTTTTTTTTTTTGAGACAGAGTCTCAAGCTGTCGCCCTGGGTAGAGTGCTATGGCATCACAAGTCACAGCAATCTCAAACTCTTGGGCTTAAGCGATTCTCTTGCCTCAGCCTCCCAAGTAGCTGGGACTATAAGCGCCCGCCACAATGCCAAGGTATTTTTGGGTTGATGTTGTAGTTGTCATTGTTTTTAGATGGCCTGGGCCAGGTTTGAACCTGCTAGTGTCTGTGTATGTGGCGGGCACCCTACCCACAAGGTAAAGGTGCCACATTTTTTTTTTTTTTTTGAGACAGACTCTCACTTTGTTGCCCTTGCCCTTGGTACAGTGCTGTGTCATCATTGCTCACAGCAGCCTCTAATTCCTGGGCTCATCTCTTGCCTCAGCATCCCTAGTAGTTGGGACTACAGGCACCTGCCACAATGCCTGACTCTTTTTAGAGACAAGGTCTCACTCTGGCTCAGGCTGGTCTTGAACCTGTGAACTCAGGCAATCCACCAGCCTTGGCCTCCCAAATGCTAGGATTACAGGCATGAACCACTGTGCCTGGCCCCAGAGTCACCACTTTTGACTTGGGCATCCTCTGCTCCCTAGGTGTGACATGGGTTGGGGTCCTTTTTGCCATGGGTCTATTCCAGCAAAGGCTCCTGAGTACAGAGGTTTCCAGGCCTGAAGTCAGCCAGCCACTTCTGAAATTGTGGACACTTGGACAGGCTGTCCATAGAGCCAGAAGCTAGAGTTCAGATCCAGGTCTCTCCCCACCATGTTTTTTTTTTTTTGAGACAGAGTCTCATTATGTCACCCTTGTTGCCATGGTGTTACAGCTCACAACAACCTCAAACTCTTGGGCTTACACAATTTTCTTGCCTCAGCCTCCCAAGTAGCTGGGACTACTGGTCCCTACCACAATGCCAGGCTATTGTTTTTGTTGTAGCTGTCATTGTTGGTTAGCAGGCCCAGGCTGGGTATATGTGGCCAGTGCCCTAACGATTGAGCATGGGCACCGAGTTTTTTTTTTTTTTTTCTTTTTCTTTTTGGTGGTGGTGGTATCTCACTGTGTCGCAAGGCTGGAGTGCAGTAGTGTAGTATCTGTTCACAGGGGTAATCTTAGTACACAGCAGCTTCAAACTCCTGGGCTAAGGCAATCCTCCTGGCTCAGCTTCCCAAGTAGGTGGGACTGGACTCACTCCATTATGCTGACTAGGTCTGGTATTTTATCCCGTAAGGAATACCCCTACTTCCATGCAGCTCCCCACCCCCCCAGTACTATTTACTGTCTAATAAATATGTGATATTGTGGGGCAGGGCTGTTTAAGAGTAAATAGTCTTGACCTTCAGGGACACTGGGCTCAGCTAGAGTTGGGCGTGTAATCAGTGATATACAAGGGAGCTGCTAACTGGTGGTGTCTGAAAGTTCTCAGTGGGATCTAGACCTAGGCATGGGTTCCTGGCAGCACTGGTTGAATTAGATGCTTATTTTTCAAATGCCAGGGAAAAAGGTAGTTCCCTTCCTTCAGCTTGTCATAGTGGCTCCAATCACTCAGTCAGAAATGTGATTCCTAGCTTGGTACCTGTGGCTTAAATGGCTAAGGTGCTAGCCACATACACCTGAGCTGGCGGGTTCGAATCCAGCCTGGGCCCGCCAAACAACAATGATGGCTGCAACCAAAAAACAGCCAGGCGTTGTGGCCGGTGCCTGTAGTCTCAGCTACTTGGGAGG